GTAATGATTTATGAACCATAGAATTTTTAATTTAGCTGTGCATTTAATCATTTTTTCCGCGTTATTAAATTTGCATGAGCTTAGGCTTCTCAATTTCCAAAAATGCAGTGTGACGTCATGTCAAAATAAAATAAAATAATGCCATATATTTTTTGGCAGGGAAAAATTGAAGAAAGGGCTTAATGTATCTTTCAACATGTTTCCTGATTTAAAAAAAAAAAAAGAGGGATGCAGAATGTGGAAGGGAGAAAGCATGTGACCAAATCATTTATGAGTCTCATGACTTATTCAACATTTAAAAGTTGATAATTACTTTGCATTTCCATAAAGTCGAACTTATTGATTGGAAAGTGGATTCAAGCAGCTTCAAGTGCTAATCTATTTAAGCTTTATTTTTGTGATACACCCTGTACATGTATTTACAGAAGTTGTTTCAGGACTAAAACACCATCCCTTCATCTTGCCTATGCAATAATTCTAAGATATTTCAAGAGGTCACCTGCGCTGATGATTCACCACCAAGAATTTAGTTTCATTTTTAAATCGCTGCTGATGGCAGGAATTTTGGCAGTCAGAGATTTGCAAAGTACACATTCTTTGAAAGCGTGCTTGAAATTCAAAAAAAGCTCAGCCTCAGATGAGTCATGATTCTTGATATACAATATTTTGGGGAAAACCATTTTTTTTCCCCGCCAGCTGCTGCTGTTGNAATTTTGGCAGTCAGAGATTCGCAAAGTACACATTCTTTGAAAGCGTGCTTGAAATTCAAAAAAAGCTCAGCCTCAGATGAGTCATGATTCTTGATATACAATATTTTGGGGAAAACCATTTTTTTTCCCCGCCAGCTGCTGCTGTTGTGTTGTGTGCTGTAGCTGGGAAGGAAGCTATATGTTAGATAACAGCTTATCACTGCTGGAAGTGGGAAATTCCCTCGATACTCTTCCACATACACATACACAGATACTTTTATGAGCTTTTGTGACACATATTCCCAGCAGGTTCTCGATTTTTGCTCATCGGATTAAATCACCCTCGCCAAAACTATAGCCTGATGGATTTGATCAATTATTTTGCTTCGTACTACAGTATTTATTTGACAGCTCTCGGATATACAGTATTTATGAATGAACAGAACGCTTTATATATTTTCCACTTTTCAGCGTTCACAAGGTTTAATCAAGATTTCCACAACCAAACCCCCTCCCCACCCCACACCCAAATCAACTCAATGACATTTTAATCACTTCAGAGCAGGAAACAGAGCACAAATTGATAACAAAAAATAAAATAAAAGACAATCCATGAAATATAACTGGACATCTGACATGTATATGCATACACCCATTCAGTCAGTATTTATTAAAAGCAGATACATGAATAATATGAGATACATGCAATAAATGAAATGTTCTTGTTCTCATTTTTATGCATGTAATTTACTTGTGCAGTTTGCTGCTGCCTTGGCGGAAAGGCGTGGATTCGGGATTTCAGTCTACAACTTCATTTCCCGCGCCGCAACCGCAGCGACACCTGGATGAAGAGACTCCCGCGCATGCAGATGTCATCGCTCCCAGCATCAGCAGGTCGCCGAGACGCATCTTGCCGAGTTCTAGTGCAGCAGCAGTTCGGGAACATGCAGGCACTACCATCAGGGCACCGACCCCCTATGCCATTCCTGTACCACTGGTAATACGCCTATACATCATATACAGTATATAGGCAAACATTTGATGGAATTTGAATGAGGAATAGATACGAGGGTTGTAGAAAAGAGTCAAATCAATCAGGAATTTGGTTTTGTACTGTACTGTATATCTTTGCACAGGATTTGCAGAAGGACATGCTGGCAATGAGTCCTGATGATGATGATGATGATGATGCTGTTGATGCCGATGAGTCCTCTGCAGCATCAGTGATGAAAGTTGGTCACGTGGTGACACAGCGCCATCTGCCTGGTTCTTTGCAGCCTCACCGCCCTGCGCCTCCACCTCCGACCACCAGTGGTCAGCACTTGTTGAATAAGGGAGCCACCACGAATACCCGGTGATTAATCTTTTACTGATGCTGTATTCAGTATACCCGAATTTCGAGATTTAATCGAAGTGGTATGATGAGTTCTCAATTTATTCACCCTTGCTCATACTGCAGACCCAAGTCAGCTGTGTACCAGACTGGTGCGACATCTGGTGCAGTGGTTGTTGTGACTGCCCTGACTGCGGGGGCCATTGCCGGGAATAATCAGGCCTTAGGGGCAAGACTCGCATGTGCTGGCCCTCAGTATCAACAGTCTGAGTCAGAATTCAACTCACGGAATCGTCTTCATCATCATCATTATAATGATACTCTTCAGAATCAGCAAGGTCGGCAACCACACCAAGAAACCAGCAGCAATGGATTCCTCAAAGGTCTGATTTTTGTACACTTTGGGTTTTATCAAATTCAAGAGGTGCAAGGTTTACTAAACCAAATCGATCATTTTTATTACGATTTATTTACTGTAGTAGGTTTTTTGTTGGTGTATGGATGTGCACAAAAATTGTAAAAAAGTTTCCACTTGTGCTTTCTTCAAAATTCAGGATATAGAAACAACAGGTATTATTTGCTGTGTATGTGCAGTGATGTGTTATATTTTTCGAATTTCAAGAATATGACCCCCTTGAAGAAATCTCGAAAGATAGGAATATTTCTTGTGCTATGATTCAAAGAAGTGCACTTGAAGCATCTCTTTTATTTATTGTTGCTACTTGCGTCAGACAAGATTATCTTGAGATGAGCCAGCACTCCCCCATCATTTGCTTGATTCTCCTATAATTAATTAATTTCCTTCTCATGACTCTGTTTGAAAGCTTCAGTATAGCCTTATCAGAGATTTTAAAAGTAATAGACTGAATAAGAGACATCAGACACTCCGAGATAGATCCCCACTCCATTAAGGAATCATCAGCAGCAGTCTCATATGACTGAGTGAGTGACATCTGGAAAGCTTTTGCAAAACATGTTGTCGGGGATTCATTCTGTCAACTAAAATGCCTTAATTCCTTTATGTTGCATGATGATATAAATGATATACTAACTTGTTGTTGTCGAAATGTATTTCCAAATACTGTAGGTCCAGCTTCTGCAGATCAAACTGAGGGCACTCTTTTGCAAAAGTTCAAGAAGACTTTCTCCTGGAGGTTTTCCAATTCCAACAACAATGTTCCACCGTCTGGACGCCAGTCGAACTCCAGGAGGCGGTTTTCTGGTCCCACTTCTTTGCCTCACACCAACTGTGCTTGTCATCATCATCATCATCATCAGCAGCAGCAGCAACAACAAGGGACCAATGTTGAAGTGTGTCCAGCTGCAGTTGCTGCTGCTGCAAAGCATTCAACATCATCATCAACAGGAGATGCTGCTGAAGACCAGCAGCAGCAGCAGCAACAACAGCAAGGGTTTTCGCAGGCCATGACAATGCACAGATCTGCTTCCTGCGACTACAACAACCCCACCTGGTGCGCTACTTGATCTCTGGCAGATGCTCTGAATCTGCGTTCTCGCACTAGATGTCACCCGATTTTAAATTTATTTCCTGTATCACGTGCAGTCCATGGGATTCTACGAATAGGACTGATTGGCGTCGCTGCTCGTCATCAGCAGCAGCAGGATGTGCAAATGCAGCATTTGACGACGAGGTTCAACATCGTCGCCAGCAGCAGCAGCAACAATCGACATCAATTAGTGCCTTGAGTAAGAGGCTGAGTGGAGACAGCGGCATCATGATGATGTGCGACGCTGTGCCAACTGACGTTCAGGTGCGTCCTCTCAGTACCAAGTCTGTATAGCATTCAGTTGGTTCTCGGCCTTATAGAGGTCGCTCCAATGAATGGGCGTCTATATATCCATCAGTAAATTTAGTACAGTACTGGACTTGTTCTTATCGTCATTCTTTCGTTCATCATCGTATCTATATGCAGGCAAAGAATCGACAGAGTCAGTCGACTTTGACTGGAGCGTATTCGTTGGCCAACAACAACAACAACAACAAGTGTGTTTCTGGGCTCTGTCAGCATGCTGCTGACCACCATCTTTGCTCGAGGGTGAGTCATGTAGGACCCAAAATTGACCCTTTTCGACGATCGACCCATCAAATTATTACACCCTATATATATATATTGTACTGTACATTGTTGAGCACAGTACAGTAGTAGTACTGTGAGGATTCATCGCCCAAACAATACTGATGTAATGTACCCGCCTGATCCTTCTCTGTCTATTTATGCAGTACTGTACTGTATAAATAGCACATGAAATGACGTTGATTATATAACGGGGGAAGATGAGTGACGAAAGACAGAGTCATATGATGGTGTTTTTTAATCCGTCTCTCTGTCTCTCTCTCTCTCTCTCTCTCTCTCTCTCTCTCCCCCTGTCTCTCTTTTTCTTCAGCCATTGAAGCGTGGGAAAATGAGATAAAATCTTGGTTTTCCAAAGTGTGAGAAATCAAGGCTCTTTGACTGTTTTCTTCAAATACGCCACATTCATACTGTATATCACCAATTCACTATACCACCACTTTTCAATCGCGGTTTTCGGAACGAGCTATAATAATAGTGTGACCCCCTCCCACAAATCAGTTCTGATTATATATATATATAACTTTTGCGACGAATTTTGCACTTCTCTGGGAAACTATTGTTGGCGTTGCGATTAATAAAAGGGGGTTATATACTTTTACACTTTGTTTTGAAAATGAGGAAATAACAAATTCAAGTACTGTACTGTAATATAATCTACAACTATGGTTATTTTCTTGAGAGTTGTTCTTTTGATCCAAGAAAATTAAGAGTAAGAGAATGAGTTTCTTTTTGTCCCCTTATACTGTATGTGCACACAGAAGATGATGTCTTTTTTGTCGCATGCATCTCAAATGAGCTTGAGAAATATTTTTTTCAAGCATGGTTCATGTGTTTTGTACATGCAGTATTGATAATGAATCTCAGACATTCAACTTTGAAATTAGAGCTGTAATTGGATATTGAAATAAGACTATAGTGGATGAAATTACACTCCATTTCAGCACACATTGGCTGCAGACAATCCAAGAAATGCAACCAAAATGTTGAAATAATTGAATGATTCTCTTAATGCGGACCAAGTCCACAAATTCGGCCACCATTTACAAATATTATATATGTTGATGACAGAAGGGGTACAGCACTTATTGACTGAATAAATTCTACAGATAACATCAAATGCCATATTTTATTTAAAGATTCAACACCCCCCCCCCCCCCATTACTTTGACTCGTTATTCTTGGTTGGAAAACTCATTTCTAACAATTTGTACTATCTATCACCTGCTGTAACAAAAAGATTTAAGCACCTCTTTCCTTTTACAGTACTGTACAGTATAGGCTGCAATACAGTAATGTCAATGCCAAAGAAACAGTACTGTAGAGGTATTTATATTTAAAGAGTCAGAGGAAATTGTACCCTTGACAGCAGCAGTTTGAACAAGTAGGACAGCTTGAGTTGCGCCATCATGCAAGAAGAAAAAGAAAGAAATAAAAGGACTGTCCAAGGTTGGAAAGAAATAAAAAAAGAGGAAGAGAAAAGGAAACGTTTGCTAACCTTTTGCATATTTATATAGTACAGTATGTATGAATCTTGAGTGACTCGTGTGCTATATACAGGTGTGTGTGTGTGTGTGTGTGTGTGTGTTTGTCTTTCTTTTATGCACAAATAACACCAGCCACGCGCTGTAATTCCTGTTCTAACAATAATGAACAAAAGCAGTGCATTAAAAAAAAAAAAAAGAGAGAAAATAAACCTCTGCCCAGCATAAGACTCTGTTAACAATCAAGTCAAGTACAGAAGCGCAGAGTCTATATAGTCGAGTATATTAGTATCAAGTTAGTCTGCAGTAGTACTGTACATGGCTGGCTGACTGACTGACTGACACAAGTCGCCCAGCAGACAGCAGCAGCAGCAGCAGCAGTCACTCCCATCTCTCTGCGTTCTTTCCCTCCCTCCCTCCCTCCCTCACTTTTCTTATTCTTCTTCTCCTCCAGTGGTACATTGGTGGGAATAAGGTTAGACTCTTACTTAGACGTCCGCTGTCAACTTATTCCTGCTGTTATTGCTGGTGCTCGCAGGCATATTCTTGTTCTCTCTCTC